ACACACACATATATATATATATGTTGTTAGGTAGCATTCGTTTGTTAACATTGACATCAGTTGTTCCAGAATAGGGTATATAACAGAGAGTAATATAACATAAGTATGCAAGGTAGGGAGTATAAAGCTATTTTATAAATGACTTGTATCTAAACCACTTACTGGACAACAAAGATGCATCAAAATCACCTCATCCACAAACATATACACACCACACCAGAAATAATATGCATATTGAAATAAACCTATATTGTACAGATAAGGTCAACTTACAAATATAAAGGTTAACTTATAATTACCACAACCCCGCTCCACCGACCGCCGACGGGGATAGTCACCTCCCTCCACAAGCCTATCTAAGGTCGTTCTCCTCCTCACTCGCCCCACTCCCCCCACAACCCCAGTCTGAGTCGACCAAAACCCGAACCCGAACCAACCCCCGTGTCTCGTCCTCGAGTCCCGTTAGTCCGTCGAAACTGGAGTAAAGCGGCGTGAGATTATGCAAAGGCCATGAATTCGTTGAACTTAGCCCTGTAGTCAGCCATGCCGAGAAACCTCATTACCTCTCTCTTGCTCTTCAGAGGCTTGACCTGTCTATGACCTGCTTAATGTCTCAGGTAAGTTACATGCCATGTACAAAATCACTCATGGCAAGGCTTGCCGTCAGGTTAAGCTGTCCGTGAGCCTCTAAAACAGTGCCTGCAGCCTCTCCAGATGTTCCACCCAGCTTACACTGTAAATGATTTTATCATCTAGGTAAGCTTTACATACATGTAGACCTGAAATTTGACTATTGATTAAATTTTGCGAGATGTCATTTTTAAACCAAATGGCCTTACATAATATTGAAAGAGACCATCTGCCGTTACAAATGCAGATATCTATTTCGCTCTTTTTGTCATGCGGATTTCCCAGTATCCCTCTAACATATCCATCTTGGTTACACACTTGGCTATGTATATGGTAAAAACTCTCCACCGTCGACCTTGGATTCTAGCATACCCAGGGGATTCCGGGCACTCACACTGGGCTCAGTAATTCCGTTTTCCAACATGTACCTGACCTCATCCCTCATCTGCTAACAATTTGTAGGATTTACTCAATAGATGCTGCTTTACTGGGCCATTATCGCCAATATCAATGTCATGATGCATTAAACTCGTGCGACCAAGAACATCAAAAAAGAAAATCTAAGATTAAGTTAGTTAGCTGTTGTTTCTTAGAAGAATCTAGATGAACAAGCTGCTCACCATCATTTAGGTCTGGAGCACTTAGAATTGCTACATGGGTTTGGGGTTTAGTATTTGCCAATACAAATGATACAGTTTCTATGGGTGTTTTAGGTACCACTCCCACTATTACTTCTTTATCACAGAAATGAGATTTGAGGTGAACCTTATACAACGGAGCAAATCGGATGCCCACACTCAATACCGGCTATGAAGACGTTAGCACCCGAGGTCTTCCTTGCTAGCAACGCCTCTTTATCTCTTATTACAAAAGGCTTCTCACCACTTTCATCACAACCAGGGATATACTTCCTTCTGAGCACAACGGCTTGAATTCTTCCCGTACATGTCTAAATCTGTATCAGGAAGCAAATTGACATCTATTGGACTTTCTACATCTTTAAATCTAATGATGGAAAGAGCTACGAAAATGTAGCTGACAATATTACTGACTATATAACTTGCAATTAAAGCATATAACTGATTTCTTTCTATCGTAACTAGAGGTCTGACCAGGTCTCACCCTCTCTCCTATCACCTATAAATTTATTATTCTGTCGGGGGAGTAGATTTTGAATTATTATTGGACCTTCAACATTTCTATGGATCGAAGCAAAATCCTCTGTCATT